GAGAAAGGACTTGTGTCGCTAAAGTTTCGTCGGAACGAATTTACGGAAAATTAACTAACGACTGGAGGCGTAACAGTATTATAATTTAAAAAAACTCTTAAAGTCAGCCCTTATTATTCATATAATTATATCAAGCTTTCTCACTTAAATTTACTGCCTCCACAACATCCAAAGGCAGCCCATTCCAGAGGCCAACCATCCTGTTAGAAGAATATAACTGTCTTAGCTGAAGACAGCTCGTATCTTGCCAAAATTTATATTTGTGTCCCCTAGTACTACTATTCTCCCCGTTAAGTACAAAAAGGGTGATACTTCAACACTATCAATTCCCTTTACAATCAGATCCCCCCCCTAACTCTTCTTTTTTCATAAGAGAGAGCAATTTGAGAAGTTTCAACCTCTCCTCGTATGACAACCCCTCCATCCCAGGCATCATTCTAGTAACGTTCCTTTGAAACCCTTTCCAACAATTCAATGTCTTTCCTAAGGTAAGGAACCCACGCCTGAACAGAATATTCCCAATGTGGCCTAACCAGTGACTTATACAATGAAATTATAACCTCTTTAGACGTGTATTCAATATTTCTGTAGAAACAACCGAAAATCCTATTGTCTTTCTACAAGCAACAGCAGAAAGGATATTAGAAGAGAATAGGATATATGGAAAAAGTAAAATGAGACTCAGGAAAAGCTGAGTAATCGAAATTGCAGGTCCGAGTTCAAGGAAAAAAAAAGATAGCAATAAAGGAGGTGTCAATATCAATATCCTATATTTTGAGTATGGTAATCAATTAATACATTTCCTTTAATTATATTTCGATATGTGTGGTAGGCAGAACACATGTGTAGATTTGCGCTTACCAAAAAACCAAACATTTGGTTTATTATTATACGTTGTTTTATAATAACTATGTAGATATTCAAAATAATAAACAATTACTGAACGACACTTTTTGCTTTTGTATATAGGTGCTTTCCCTCACTCAGACTAAACACACATTTTATTTTATCACAGACAATCCAACTAGCAAAATATAACATTTACACTTGAAAATAAGAGTAATAATTGCTTATAAAGTTAGATGGTAAGATTGAGAAGTTAATTGTTTCATGTACAATATTGTTACGCCTCCGCCTCCGTTCGTTAGTTAATTTCCCGTATAAATTCTTTCCGAAGAAACTTTACCGATACAAGTCCTGTGTTAAATAAAACTGGTTTATTCTTTCTGAATACAACTTT